TGTCATTCGTCAAATACTTATCATAGTTCTATTCTTCTCAGAACATTTCTTTGTAAAAATACGACTTTTATCGGTTCATTAAATATTTCATTCAGTCGAGAAATTAATCGACATTCATGTATGTGAGTGTATGGAATCACGTCAGGTACCCTTACGAGGGGAGTGTATCAACTTTGGCGTTCGTAATGCCTCTCTACAAAGGAGGGTGTCGCCTTCAAGAGTTAGGTATAAACAGTGGTTTTATACCAATTTTTTCCAAATTATTCATGCACAATAGGAGAGCAACAGTCGTTGTTTAGATGGAGCAGTGCTCTTAGAAGGGTGGAACCGAGGGTGGAACCATGTTTCCTTCTATAATATACATGTGAATTATAAAGAATTTAATATAGTGCGATTTGAAAAACATGATACTAATTCCAGTTTTTTTCAGGAACAATGCAAATTATTCCAGAATCTAGAAGAAATTCCATATTGGTTTGTAGGACACTTCAGTTTGGAATTCTTCATCGGTGGATGCATTTCCAGATAGATAAATAAGATGAATATAATATGAAGCAAACAACAGAGCATAAAAATAGTAATCCAAGTTTGTTTTAGGAAATTACAGGACCAATGTAAACTATCGCAGATGTCTCAGAATCTCGGACCCTGTATTTGCAAAAACTTTTCATTCGTCTATAGGACACTTCACTTTGGAACCCAATATCTGTGGATGTCATACCAGACAGATTGATGAAATATGGAGATTATCAAGATGAGTTTTCAGGAACATTGATATTTGTCATTCGTCAAATACTTATCATAGTTCTATTCTTCTCAGAACATTTCTTCGTAAAAATACGACTTTTATCGGTTTATTAAATATTTCATTCAGTCGAGAAATTAATCGACATTCATGTATGTGAGTGTATGGAATCACGTCAGGTACCCTTACGAGGGGAGTGTATCAACTTTGGCGTTCGTAATGCCTCTCTACAAAGGAGGGTGTCGCCTTCAAGAGTTAGGTATAAACAGTGGTTTTATACCAATTTTTTCCAAATTATTCATGCACAATAGGAAAGCAACAGTCGTTGTTTAGATGGAGCAGTGCTCTTAGAAGGGTGGAACCATGTTGCCTTCTATAATATACATGTGAATTATAATGAATTGAATATAGCGCAATTTGAAAAACATGATACTAATTCCAGTTTTTTTCAGGAACAATGCAAATTATTCCAGAATCTAGAAGAAATTCCATATTGGTTTGTAGGACACTTCAGTTTGGAATACTTCATCAGTGGATGTCTTTCCAGATAGATAAATGAGATGAATATTATATGAAGCAAACGACAGAGCATATCAATAGTAATCCAAGTTTGTTTTAGGAAATTACAGGAACAATGTAAACTATCGCAGATGTCTCAGAATCTCGGAACCTGTATTTGCAAAAACTTTTCAATCGTCTATAGGACACTTCACTTTGGAACTCAATATCTGTGGATGTCATACCAGACAGATTGATGAAATATGGAGATTATCAAGATAAGTTTTCAGGAACATTAATATTTGTCATTCGTCAAATACTTATCATAGTTCTATTCTTCTCAGAATATTTCTTTGTAAAAATACGACTTTTATCGGTTCATTAAATATTTCATTCAGTCGAGAAATTAATCGACATTCATGTATGTGAGTGTATGGAATCACGTCAGGTACCCTTACGGGGGGAGTGTATCAACTTTGGCGTTCGTAATGCCTCTCTACAAAGGAGGGTGTCGCCTTCAAGAGTTAGGTATAAACAGTGGTTTTATACCAATTTTTTCCAAATTATTCATGCACAATAGGAAAGCAACAGTCGTTGTTTAGATGGAGCAGTGCTCTTAGAAGGGTGGAACCGAGGGTGGAACCATGTTTCCTTCTATAATATACATGTGAATTATAATGAATTTAATATAGTGCGATTTGAAAAACATGATACTAATTCCAGTTTTTTTCAGGAACAATGCAAATTATTCCAGAATCTAGAAGAAATTCCATATTGGTTTGTAGGACACTTCAGTTTGGAATTCTTCATCGGTGGATGCCTTTCCAGATAGATAAATGAGATGAATATTATATGAAGCAAACAACAGAGCATAAAAATAGTAATCCAAGTTTGTTTTAGGAAATTACAGGAACAATGTAAACTATCGCAGATGTCTCAGAATCTCGGACCCTGTATTTGCAAAAACTTTTCATTCGTCTATAGGACACTTCACTTTGGAACTCAATATCTGTGGATGTCATACCAGACAGATTGATGAAATATGGAGATTATCAAGATAAGTTTTCAGGAACATTAATATTTGTCATTCGTCAAATACTTATCATAGTTCTATTCTTCTCAGAACATTTCTTCGTAAAAATACGACTTTTATCGGTTTATTAAATATTTCATTCAGTCGAAAAATTAATCGACATTCATGTATGTGAGTGTATGGAATCACGTCAGGTGCCCTTACGAGGGGAGTGTATCAACTTTGGCGTTCGTAATGCCTCTCTACAAAGGAGGGTGTCGCCTTCAAGAGTTAGGTATAAACAGTGGTTTTATACCAATTTTTTCCAAATTATTCATGCACAATAGGAAAGCAACAGTCGTTGTTTAGATGGAGCAGTGCTCTTAGAAGGGTGGAACCATGTTACCTTCTATAATATACATGTGAATTATAATGAATAAAATATAGCGCAATTAGAAAAACATGATACTAATCCCAGTTTTTTTTCAGGAACAATGCAAATTATTCCAGAATCTAGAAGAAATTCCATATTGGTTTGTAGGACATTTCACTTTGGAATTCTTCATCAGTGGATGCCTTTTCAGATAGATAAATAAAATGAATATTATATGAAGCAAACAACAGAGCATAACAATAGTAATCCAAGTTTGTTTTAGGAAATTACAGGAACAATCTGAACTATCCCAGATGTCTCAGAATTTCGGAACCTGTATTTGCAAAAACTTTTCATTCGTCTATAGTCCACATCACTTTGGAACTCAATATCTGTCAATGCCATTTCAGGCAGATTGATGAAATAGGGAGATTTTCAAGATAAGTTTTCAGGAACATTAATTTTGTCATTCGTCAAATATTTATCATCGTTCTATTCTTCTCTGAACATTTCTTTGTAGAAATATGACTTTTATCGGTTTACTAAATATTTCATTCAGTCGAAAAATTATTCGACATTCATGTATGTGAGTGTATGAAATCACGTCAGGTACCCTTACGAGGGGAGTGTATCAATTTTGGCGTAACAATGTAAACTATTCCAGATGCCTCAGAATGTCAGAACCTGTATTCTCAAGATATCCATATTTTTTGTAGAACACTTCACTTTGAAATTCTATATGAGTATAGGTAAACAAAAATGAACTATGAAGATCTTTGAAGTAAGTTTTTTATAACATGAAATTTGTCTTTCTTCGGAGTTCAGATTCAGATTATCTAATGTTGTTGGAGATTACTTTGTGGAAAAACGACTCTTGAGCAAGTTTTATCATTATTCAAGCAATAGTGGGTCCTAGTATGGATACACCAAAAACCACTATCACTATCACACTTGTGGAGTGTCTGTATGGTAGGGTAAAATGTCCCACAGTGAACAGCCGTACACAGTGAACCATTTAAAATTTTACACCTGCCACTATTTAGAGAGAAGAGCTGATGTACGTGGTACGATCTATTACGTCACCATATCAGTACCATCAACCGTCTTCGTCTTTTTGTTTATTCCTGAACATGCAGTGAGTGAGAGTGAATTGAGGAAGGTGAATAAAAATTCATTATTCCGTTCCCCTTATGATTTTTCACTATTTGTGTATTTATTTGGCGATGTTATGTATCATATATGTTTAAAAATGTCTAAGAGCATTGAAAAATGTAAAAACTGTTTCATGACTATTTTGTTACTTATTTATTCTTCATATTTGTTAAAATTCAACAGTGAACCAGTACACATTGAACCAAATCCAGTACACAGTGAACCATATGATTCAATCTGTATTGACTAATCATTCCCAGTACACAGTGAACCATATATGAATTCAATCTGTATTGACTGGTTCACTGTGTACAAAACTCATTTAGTAAATATCTATGAAAGTAGAGCTAATCATTCTTGCATTTACCTTCAATTTATTTTTGAACTATCATATATTTTTCAGTTTTTGTATTTTTTTGAAATTATATTTTCTTGATGCTGTTTCAGTGTGAATTCATCAAATAATTCAATGTTTCCATAAGACAGTACACAGTGAACCAATTGAAATTTTTTTGAAAAAAATATTATAATTCACTTTGTTGATTGAAATGATAACTGTGGCTGGGCTTTTAAAAAATAAATTGAATTCTTTTGAATGGAAACTATATTTGTAATCAAAAGTGGTTCAGTGTAAGACAGTTAACCCTAAGTACATCAAGGAACTCTATATTATACCTACCTCCACATATATTATTGATAGAATAATGCCATATGATGACTATGATGCTATGATGAAGAGCATTTTTCTTGTACATTTCCTTGTAAAAAAGTATCTAAGAGAAGATAGGTAGGTCTCATTCTTCTAAGTAATAAGGGTAAAAAACTTCAGAATGGGATGTGCATTAGCAGCTAAAAATTACTTTGGGCACTATCAGCCCATGCTGAAATATGCTATGCATGTGAACTTGATTAAACTCAAGATGAATTCTACAGCAGAATTTCAAAGCTCTCTGTTAACTTAAGAAGGCATCAACTTTTCTAACTAATCAGCTGATTCATATGCTGCTGTGGATATAAAAAAATGAATTTTCAGTCATCTCCCAAATGCTTTATGCAACCAGGCCTTAGAAACATTAAAAGTTTCAGAATAATTATTTCTTTGCAGGGCATTTTCAAACATAAAAAATTCCACTCACATGACAAAAAAGGTTGATAACAATTTATGAACAATAATAGGACATACTTTTTCTCTATCAGGGGCATGGAAATATAAAACTCACCTCTAAAAATATTGCAGCTTCATGATAATTCATTTCCCATTGGTCAATATCAGCAGTGTCTTCTCTACTGAGATTTGATCTACTACCCATTTCATCCATGGGATCTAAAACAACAAATATCTGTGTAAATATTTGATGGATAGTGTTCTAGTTCTTATATGCAATTTCCTTCAAAACGTACAAATATTTTACAAAAGGCAAGGAGAATGAGAAATAATTACTTAAAATCATGATGTGTGTCACTAATATTGTAGTTGAGTTTATTCATCTATGCTTCAAGTCAGTAGATGTTTTTGGTATACAACATTTCAACAACCTAGTGAATTAATTATTTGCCTAGGAGAACAAAATGAACCATAAATAAATAAGGAGAGATTAAACGTTGATTAAAAGATAAAAATTAAGATAAGCAGAGGAAAATCAGTCCTAGATAGAATGAAAGTAGGAACAAAATTCTTAACCTTACCTACTAGGATCAATAAAATCTGCTTATCTCCCATCTGATAAACCTACATGAATAAATAATTTACTTACTTGTGGAGTTGGAACCATATGAAACATTATGAATATCTTCTGAAAACCTCTTGTACCCATCGTCATCAGGGGAACCTCTACTCGTGGAAGCCATTGAGAATATGAAAATAAAACAGCTGACTGTCAAATCAAGATCGACAAGATCGTCAAAAACAAAACAATTGAATGGCTGGTGGCATAACTTTCAGGAACTGACAACTGACTGCCATTCAAGCAATTCTTCTTCTGTTTTATCTCTTTGATTTTTCATTTGTTTCATTTTTCATTTGTTTTTTTTTGTTTCATGTTCATGAAAATGTAAATCATGGAATCCGAGGTTTGATTCACAGAATACCCAACAATATTCTTTGGTTTGAATCACAGAATACTCATCAATTGAGTATTCTGTGGTTTGAATGAAGTTCAAAAGTTTCAACAGTCTGAGTCAAGATAGAGTTTGTTTAGGTGGTTTACAATCATTTGAGTTTATTATAATTAATAATTATAGCAAAAGCCACAAATTCATCAAAGCTCAGAGCAGTCATAGCTGCAGTTACTGATCAGAAGGTTAATTTTTAGTTCTTGTTTTCAATGATCAAAAGGTATGAAATTATATTTTTATTTTCTTTTTACATAGGTCCCTTGGTCTACGACTGAGGTGTTTCCTAGTACCTACCATACCTACCTAAAGGTGATGAGGTAACATCAAATAACAAGATCATGCATAGTTTATTTTCAAGTAATAAACATAACCCATATCATATCAATGCTTATGAAACAATATGTATCCCAATTTTTACAGAAAATGTATTCATTACACAAGCTTGATGTACATTCATATCTCCAATAGTATTCCATAGCTCCTATGTTGAAGAATAATATTTACTCCTTCAAATTGACTTCAAGGAATACCTCTTATATCAGTGAATAAGGAAATATCTGGATTTCATCCAGTTTTTTTTATCTCCTGTAAATGTGGAATAATTTATTTAGGTAGGTAGTTATTAAGGTCTTGATATGGAGTTTGAAAGTTCCTTGAAGTTTCCTCATCCTATACTGTCCTACAGGAAGGTCATGATTCCCCCTTTATTAGTTTTTCAAGTTGAATTGGTGTAGGAATGAAAAATTTTTGTCAAGGACCTTCATTTCCTGAATGGGCCTCATTTAGGTGGGCAGAGAGGGAAAATTGCCCCCCCCACCCCTATAGAATATTATATACTTAGATATCAAGAATCTTCAAAGTTGTCTCCACAAGTTCATTGGCAAAGGAGCATAGTCAATTATGTTCTCGATTATGTTTCATTACTTTTGAAGAATGAGATATGTTTCAACCATTCAAGTGGTCATCAGTTATTGTATAATAAAGTTGATCTACAATGAGAAATTGTTCTTACTCAACTCAACATCTAGCAAATGGTTAAACTCTGGAGTAGAGAGTTATCAGGTATCATACATAAAATATACCAGATAATAGGGAAGCAAATAACTGAATATCCCAAAATGTAAAAATTGGCGCCTTCAGCCATTATTTACCAAGTATGCTATCATGGAGAATAGACTGATGAGTGATTTATTATCTATATAGTATTAGTGAAGATTGTTGATTCAGATGAGATGGAAATATTGATATAAAATAGGGAATCTCTTGCTGTCAGTATCCCTTGTTCCATCAATAATTTTCATTATCCTCACTAATGAAATGTTCATACCTTCAAGTGTTTTTATTTATATAAGATTTTATTAATTTTTGTTCTTTCTTCCCTAGATTTTTTGAGATTTCCTCTCATCTTTTTTATTGTTGAAAATATGAGTGTTATTTCAATTTATGAATGATGACAAATTAGGTAGAGATTGTCCAAAAATTTTACTGTTTATAAGTCTATGCATACTTTATAACCGAGTTTATAACATAATCATGTGATGAAGTCGCTGTCAGCCTGAAAAATTTCGCCTGCTGCGCATTTTTCACCCTGAAAAACATTTTTTCTAGTTCTCTTGCCTCCCCTTTTGGCATACATTTACATATACAGGGTGTCTGTAAAAGGTCTTTACAAAAACATACCACATATTCCCTAGACCAAAATAAGTCGATTTAAGTAAAATTACCTCAGTACCTACAAAGTTGCATCGTTTGGGCTCCAGAGGGTCTTGAAGTTACAATTTTTAAATCGTTTTTCCCATATAAATTTGAAACGACATATGCGATTTTGCTGGAATTTGGTATATTGATAGAGTTTCATGTGGCAAAAAAAATGGTGTTGAAATTTTGTCCGATAATAACACATAGGCGTAGAACTGAATTTTTTAAATAATTGCACCTTTAAAAATTCTACGCCAATGGAAGGAAAGGAGTTTGAGTATGAAATTCAGATTGCGCAACTCATTTACTTTAAAAAAGGTACTCTTGATAAGACTCGATTGCTCTCATGGTTTTGACGAAATTTGCATTTTAGTAATTTTAGAACATAAACAATAATTATTGAAATACAAACTTTGTTGAAACCATGAGAGTAAATCGAGTGTTATCAAGGGTACTTTTTTGTAGTAAATGAGTACCCAATCCAAATTTCATACTCAAACCCCTTTTCTGCCATAGGCGTCGAACTTGATTTTTTAAATAATTGCAGCTTTAAAAATTCTACGCCAATGGCAGAAAAGGGGTTTGAGTATGAAATTTGGATTGGGTACTCATTAACTACAAGAAAGTACCCTTGATAACACTCGATTTACCCTCATGGTTTTGACAAAGTTTGTTTTATAATAATTATTGTTTATGTTCTAAAATTACTAAAATGCAAATTTCGTCAAAACCATGAGAGCAATCAAGTCTTATCAAGAGTACCTTTTTCAAAGTAAATGAGTTGCGCAATCTAAATTTCATACTCAAACTCCTTTTCTTCCATTGGCGTAGAATTTTTAAAGGTGCAATTATTTAAAAAATAAAGTTCTATGCCTATGTATTATTATCATCCAAAATTTTAACACAATTTTTTTTGCCACATAAAACTCTATCAATATACCAAATTTCAGCAAAATCGCATATGCCGTTTTGAATTTATATGGAAAAAACGATTTAAAAATTGTAACTTCAAGGCCCTCTGGAGCCCAAACGATGCAACTTTGTACTGAGGTAATTTTACTTGAATCGACTTATTTTGGTCTAGGGAATATGTGGTATGTTTTTGTAAAGACCATTTACAGACACCCTGTATATAGGTAAAAGAGGTTATTGATAAAAGTGGAATGAACAACACTTAAGCAACTTTCTTTATTTTACAAATATCGCCAAGGCACAAATCTCAAAAAAATAATCATTCAACAATTAACTCAATTTATTTAACCAAAAATGTTATACAAATACTATTCAAACGAAAATATATCTAGAAACAACATGCATACTTTTGTCTTTTTTCAATTATTACAATTAGGTATATTTAAAACTAATTCCCCGATAGCGATATTGTCGAAAAAACAGGCTGAAATTGTGCCATTTTGATATATTTTCCTTTAAGGGGACACACTCACAGACCTTTCAAATTACCTAAAACTACGAACCACAAAAAAAAACGAACAGAATATGAGCTTCGGCTTCTACATGTGATTTCTACATATGGAAATGAATTCGAGCTTCAGCTTCTACATGTGAATTCTACATAATTATGGAAATGAATTCGTGAAATGAAAATTACTCTTAAAAATACCAGGTGGCACCACTACCTACATGGTAATAAAAGTAGAATACCCACCTATTCCTAAACACTATAGTAACAATAACGATTTCAACAATAAAAAAACAAAAGCAAAAACAATATAGCTAAAATGTAGGTAGGTACATCTTTTACCTGACATACATTAAGTCACAAGGCAGCACAATAATCATTGGAATAGGACACTTCCAATATCATTGCTACCCTTTGTGATTTAGCCTGTTCAGTCTCGGAAGTAAATATAGGCCATTTTCGATAACCATTTAGAAATATAAATCGCCCATACTTTCTCAGTAACAATAACAATTTGAGCACCTTTTCCATATTGTAGCTATGTCAAGTTGGACATGTTAACAATTCAACAAAAATATTCTCTCAATCGGGCAACAGTACAATAGAAGAACAGATCATTGATTTCTACGTATTCCCTTATGTATTGGGAGAAGTTTGGCCAGTACAGATCTGTTCAAAATCTGCCAAAGGTGTGCTTAGAAAGACATACATTGTCCTATTTTTGTTTGCCAATATTTTGTTTTGTACCTGATATTTTTATCATTATATTGAAAAAGGTAGGTACCTGTACCAATTGAGGACATGTTAAAATTAAGGGAAGCTTACATATCAGCTGATACACATTACATGTAAATGCAAAACATTTTTCTATCGAATAATTATGTTCATTGTGCTTATTACCCTTTTATTACAGAAGGAAGATGTCACAAGAAAATTGAAAACATCTCATGAACAGATGGTGATAAGAAGACAAGTGGATACCATGCCATACCAATAAAAAATCATAAGGTTAGAATAGACATAAATAAATAATTTAAATCTGGACAATGTTTCATGATGATATACCTACGAATAAAAAGGTTATTTTCTGAAAATCAAACATTGAACAATTTCAAGTTACATATACCAACCTGTATAAGTACAAGTTTCATTGTTGATTTCTGTGACAATTTAATCTTCAATGGGGAATTATGTATATCAAAAAAAGCAACTTTTAAAGCAAGCATAAAAAAATACAAATATGTTGCCCTTGGTGTTGCCAGCAAGTATGTATCCTCAATTAGTAGGGATCCAATGAAATTTATTTGCAATTATATTTCATTTTATAATTTAAACAATCATTCAAATGTGAAACCCAAAAACATCAATAATTTAGCAGTTAGGACATATTATTTAGCACGACAGAAAAAAATCATATTAGCTATATGTACAGGAGGTGATCGAAATGTCACCGCCTTAAAATACCTATTCTTCACATGTAGGTACTTAAGTACAGCCTTCAAAAACACAGTGAGGTATGAAAATCGCCAATTTCAGACAGGCAGATTTAGTACTAAATCAAAACTTTGCCTAAAAATAAATCTAGGGTAATTCTCTGACTCATTTGAGATAATCGAAAAAAGTGTTGATTCAATTTTTGGAGCTGCCTAACATGGCAACATGAAGATACAGCCCCTTTATTATCATCTAATACTTGTCACAATTTTAGTACAATCACTGCTATTGACTTCGAAATGTTTTATAGTTTTATTCATATTATTGTATGTACTTCTGAGTTCTGAATCTAACAAATATATATAGTTATCTAGTTATCATCACTTTTCAAAACATGAAATCAACATGCATAAGCATTTTTGTGATATTCACATGCATTTTTTCAGTTATCTGGTCGATTGTGTGTTTGCAAGAATAGTTTTATAGAGAATCAAAAATAATATACATTGATATAATTGAGAATTTCAAGTTCAAGGGGTACATAATTCAAGTAGTTGTAGGTACCATGTTGTTGAGCTTCATTAATTAAATGAACTCAATGACCCTCACTCGATTTTTTCGATCTGTCAAATAATTCTGAAATATCCTGTATAACAATAAATTTCTTAAATGGCATTAGGTATCTATGATATAGTACGTTTTAAAATAATTACGAAATTTCACACATCATTCTATATGCATGTATAATAATTATTGCATTAACCATGATATTATTAATAATAGTCTGCCATCGAGTCTGCCTATATTTTATATTACATTATGTTGCAACACACTGCCCTATAAGGCAAATTGTTGTGTTTGGGATGATTGACATTTTTCGTTTTTTCCCTTATCTCTTTTTGTAAATTCAAATAGTCTTCGTTTTTCCCGTATTTACTTTCGTATATTTCCAACACATCTTCCCCTTGATCAACCACCTCAACCTCATCACTTACACCTTTACTATCATTTAGCTCCACTTCCTTTATCACTTCATTGTCCCAAAAATCGAGCAGGTCTTCTGGTTCCTCGATTTCAGGGTTTTGGGAGAACAGGGTAATCTCTTCTTCTTTCGCAATAACACTATGTTCATCGGTATTATCACTAGCAGTTTTACAACAAACACTTTCATGTAACTCTTTGTATATGGTCATGGGACTCTTCAAAATTTCAACGTCCGGAGTAGTCTCGCGAGTCTTGGACATCCATTCCTTCACAGCAGCAGTTATAGGGTACAGTTTTCTTGGTTCTTCCTCTTTCCTTTCATCTTTGGCATTGTCTGATGGTTCTCCGAGTTCACATTTTTTATCAACATCGGATGTTTGTAGCATCTCTTTCAAATCCGGGTTGTCTAGAAAAATCCCATCTTCTCCTGGCGACTCTGAAGCAGTTAATTGTTTATTAGATTGCATATTTTCTAAAGGTTGATCTTCACTTACCGTCGCTGGTTTGAACAGCGTTATTTTGGTGAAATCCGGGGTTTTCGAGTAGCCCGCTTTGTCATAGCTGTCTCTCGTCGATATCTTGCTGAAGATGGATTTGAAGAAACCTTCGCTTTCATCGATATCCAGCGATCTCATTTTCTCCTCCAGGTTACTGTACATGCCCTTCTGGATGATTTTGTCCAGCTCTTGGGATATCTCGTCGTTGGTTTTGTCCTTCTCGTCTGCCAGACTTGCGTCCAACAGAAAATCGTACGATTCGCCCGTAGTGAGTGTGGCGGTCGACCCGGGCAAACTGTTATCTGAAGTCACTGATTTCGAAGGTTTCTTCCTTTTCTTTTTGCTTTTCTTTTTCTCATCTTCATCATTGTCTTGTGGGAGGGTTGGGTCCTTGGTGACCTCTTCAATGGGCTCAACAGGGTTTGGTGCTACTTCAGGCGTTTCTTCATGATGCTCGATCTTTTTCACAATTTTCTTCACAGGAGTTTTGATCTCCTCGCATTTATCAGAAAGGTCGATGTCCGTTATAATCACCCTCTTTGTCACAGTTTTTTGGGAACCTTTCTTGGACTTCTTTTTGGTTTTGGGTTTAGCGACAGCTATGAATTCTTCAGTTGTCTCCTTTGCTACTTCAGAAGGTTCGGATTCAGGTTGTATCAGCTCTTCTTTTTGTTCAAGCTGTTCTGGTTCTTTTGCTATCAGTTCGCTTTCGATTTCTGCGACTGATCGTATATTTGGTACCAAACTGTTTATCTCAACAGGACTGATCATACTTTCAGCGATAGTACTTATGATGTCCTCAACCTTCCCTTCAGTTATTTCAACCTTTATAATCTCCTCAGTTGCTGTTGCAGATGGTACTACGTCCACTAGGAGATTGATGTCGTACACCTCAAAGTCATCATCAACTGTGGTTTCCTCTTGATCTGCAAAGGATGAGTCAGCCTCTTCTGTATTTTTGTTCTTCCGCTTCTTCTTGCTAGAAACTGATATCCATTGGTTCGATGTTGGCAGTGGAGGAACTGATGTTTTTGGAGATGTCTTTGGAGTTTTAGCTTCTTCCATTCTTAATGATTCCACTTTCTTCGTTTCAGGTACGATGTCTCCTGTACTTATTTCGACCAGTTTGGGATTCACAGGTACTGTATTCCTCAAGGTATCTGAGTAGTTTCTGGAGTTCGGTTTGGTTTCAGTATAGACTTTATAATTTTGCCTTGGTTTGAATTCCGGGCTTTTTTGGGCACCATTCTGCTGCCACCTGCTCTGATAATTTGGTTTCCAGTTTTTCCTGAACTTCTCCGGACTATTTCTAGCGAATTTGTTCTCGGCCAGGACATCATTTCCTAGAGAACCATCAGGTATATTTTTGGTGTCAACTTGTTCGGGAGCAGTTTGCTCGGCAGTTTGGTCCTGTGTGGTGCCATTTTGGTACACCTGTCTTTGTGGAGAGTTCCTAGGACTGTTGTAGAAGCTCCTCTTGTAGTTGTTTTTGTACTTCGGACTGGATCTGTACTCTTTGACGAAATGATTTCGTTTTGGACTCTGTACTTCGAGTTCTTCACGTTCTTTAGCTGCTTCTTCTAATTTCGAAACTACAGTAGCTATATCGATCGTCTTCTTCGTAGAATGCTGTGTTTCTGGCACTCCATTGCAAGTTGGGGCTTCATCTCTGGCAGTGACTGGATTATCACAATGCTCCTGGACCTCTTGGCCAGCAGAGGTAGTTTCCATGATGAATTCTCCTTTTTCCTCCATCTCGGGAGCATTTGGGGCGAATCCGATGAAGTTGGGGTACATTTTGGGATCTGGGGGTAGGAAATGGATGGGTATTCCTGAGGGAATAAATGCTGGGTTGAAGTTTTGACCGTTGAACGGTACCACTGGTATGTGCACGAAGTTCGGAGGTACTTTGATGAATTGGACGGGTATCTCAGGGGCGCGGTAAGCTCTAGGGATGAATTCTTCGGCATCGGGCTTCAGGTCGTACTTCAGAGGCTTATGGTGCTCCAGAGGCTCTTCAGGTTTTTGCGAATGAACCTCTGGAGCTGCTCGTTCGTCTGGCGCGATTACAGCACTGCTGACGTGTTCTAGGGGTGTTTCACAGCCGGCTTTGGAATCTTCGAGACTTTCAGTTGTTTCCTCTGCACAACCGTTGACTGTGTTTTCTTCTGTGCTGGTTGCTTTTGTGATGGGAGGGTCTGTTGAGGTGCTTGGATTCGTTGTTTCGGTGGATGTGATGCTGTTGATTTCTGTTGGAGTTATTTCTGCAGGATGGATGACTTCTTCTGTACAGGAGTCGGTTTCTTCGTCGCTGCACTCAGTGCTGTCTTGGGCTGCTGTTAAAGACCTCGATGTCTTTCTACGTCTGCGCTTTTTGATTTTTCTGATCTGATCGGTGGGGCAGTGCTCATCCACCATTTCTGTAATAGAAAATGGATTTGTGTATAAAATAATTGAGAAGCAGAGTTTTTTTGGGGAAGGCACTCTAAATGACGCCGTTATCGAAATACAGGGCGTTCTTATTTTCATGTTCATCTCCGGTTTAGAATTTTTGGGTTTTAGGTATGTTTGATGGGGCATTTCTCTATAAAATTTGATTCAAATGATTTTTTGAATATTATGTTGAATAAATGTATCCAGTGATAGATAAGGTGCTTTTGTCTCTCCTTATTTATCACTGGATACATTTTCAACTTATGAAAATCATCAAGAATAGAACATTTTTTCCACGTTCTGATGAGTCGTCAGAAAGCGTCAACTGTATTTCAGAAAAGTCACTTGTATTTTAGGAAGCATCGATTGTATTTCAGAATAGTCAATTGAATTTCAGATGGCGTCCATTGAATCCCAAATGATATTTTCTGAAATACAAATGACTCTTTCTGAAATTCAATTGACTATTCTGAAATAAAATTGACGCTTTCTGAAATTGAATCGACTATTCTGAAATACAAGTGACTATTCCGAAATACAATTGATGCTTTCAGAAATACAAGTGACTATTCTGAAATACAGTTTGACGCTTTCTGTAATTCAAGTGGAAAAGGTTTAGTGACCTCATGATTGATGTAAGGCCATTTTCTTCTTCATTATTTATTAGTAAACTAGTGACGCAACAAACAGAAAATTATGAAAAATGTTCAATTCTTGATGATTTTCCTAGATATAATTGAGGTATATCGTATACAGTCAACAAATAGAAATCTTTTTTATTTTCAATTTTAGTAAAGAAATTGTTTCTTCATAAAAAGTTCTGCAGGTCCCAAAACTGCAAATGCAAATATAAGATAGACGTAAAAGTATATTGTTATAATGAATTATATCAAATTATCATATACAGAGTATGTCAAAAAATTTGAATTTTGAGTAAATAATAAAAGCTGATTTTCATCGTAGATTGATGTAATTAAATATTTGAAAGTAGTCATCAATCCTAATCAACTTTTCTAAATGATAATTTTCGATATTGTCTAAAATAAATAGGTACCTACTTACTTTAGCCTTGAGCAAAAATAATATTTTTTTTAATATCCCGTATACGACTGAAAAAAAATTATATCTTTTTTTCCTTAAATAAATGAAGAAGTTTTCCAGACTGTATACCTATTATAGATGATTCAAAATGTTTGGAGAACAGTATGCTTTTTTTTTTCATGCATTGAAAAAATCGTGTTTACTGAAGTAGTAAGTAGGTACAAAAATAATTCTCCAAACCTTTGAACACATACTTAATAACCAAACATTTCGAGGATACCACCTATTCCAATACTCAGTAGTTTTCCATTGACCTTCAATGTTATTTATATCGAAATAGGAACATTTCTGGCTAGGCACTTTCGGAAAAGAATATTTTGGTGAACTATATATATTTTCTGGAATGGAAAAAAGATTGATCGATATTACTGAATTTGTATTTTTCGCTTCTATAATACTCACACCTGATGCCATATATCATTGTGAGACTGGATAGCATAACGTTCTTGTGCTGTCGTGTTGAGATTTTTGGCACATTTTCAAGACATTTATACATCATATGTCAGTCCTTTTTTTGTACGGCTATTCGTCGGCCGTTTTGACAGTGAAAGACAGGACCGGCGCTACAGGATGTCTTTGTAGGAGACGTAATTTAAAAAGTATAATGTATCATGGTCTTTGAGGTATTCGAGATCTGTTCAAAAATTTGCAGTAAAGCCTACAAATAATTGAGTTTTTTCGAGATATTTCCCAGAAACCAGCGAATATCTCACTGAGATTAGTCTGCATCGGGTGGCGGAAATTTGATCGAAAGACAAATGATAGAAAAACATTTGATAGAAGTCTTTTGATCGAAAATCAAGAAATAGAAAGAACTTTTCACCGAAAATACATTTGATCGAATGTTTTATGAATAAAAATACATTTGATAGAAACATAAATGATAGAAAATTCAATTGATAGAAAAAATATACACTTGATAGAATTTGATGGAAAATTCAACGAAGCTACGCTCAAGTTAGGTCAGTTATTTTGTGAAGATATGATCCTTCCTCATATATTTGAGAAGATGGAGCTAGAAGTTTGTGGTATCAATAAATTCATAAGCTTCGATTTCCATCTAGCTCCTTCTTCTCAAATATATGAAGAAGGATCATATCTTCACAAACGTACTGACCTAACTTGAGCGTAGCCCGGTTGAATTTTCTATCAAATGTTGTTTCTATCAGGTGTATTTTCTATCAAATATTTTTCCTATCATTTATGTTTCTATCAAATGTATTTTCTATCATAAAACATTCGATCAAATGCATTTCTATCAAAAACACTTTCGATTAAAAGACTTCTATCAAATGTTTTTCTATCATTTGTCTTTCGATCAAATTTCCGCCACCGGTTTGCATCAACCTGTATAATATCCTGTATACAAGGCGAGAAGTTTATTCTTCAGGCTACAAAGAGTTGAAAATTTAAAGAGGAGCATCTGACATCATATGTTGGAATATCTATCCGATTGTTTTTACAGGATGTCCCACTTGAATGTGTCACAACCTTTATTGCTTCTTATTTGTATCAACAAAATACTGGCTGGCTCAGATTTTTTTTCTCAATAATATATTTGTTTAAATAATTGTACAAATCTTGTATTTCGTGCAAAATAGTTTATTCAAAATATCGGCTATGAAGCCATCACCACTATATTTTTGAATGCAGGTTGAGAATGAAAGAATGACCAAAATATATTGAAAATTAGGAGGGTAAAAGGAGGTGTCATATTTTTATAAAGAACTTTTCTGTAGGTTCGATCCACACCATGACAGGCATCGATGACAAGTAGCTTATAACACATCTAGGAAAAAGGTGAGTAGAAAAATAGATATATAGTTTAAATCTTTTGTTGAAGATGATAGCAGTTGGTTATAATAGTAAAACAGTGTATTATGTTTGTTTTCTCTGGAAATTAACTCCTATATAAATCTAGCAGAAAATGTGACCATCCTGATTCATCAACAGTTCTTGTAAAATGTCTCTTTATGACGAAATAATCTTTTTCCACCACTATTTCTAGCTGTAAGAAAAACATGTCTGACTCTGAATCTATTCGCGAGATTCACGAAGTGGGGACATCTAGGTTACATAATACGAACTTCAAACTGGGGGAAAACAAACTGTTGTCTATGGATAAAGTGCATAGACTACATTGCATTCAGCTTGCTGTAGCTGTAGTCAAACTTGTCAATGACATAAAGTGTTGGCACTGTTGGTAGTGATGACGGTTGAGTTGGTTAACTTTTTTACCTTATTACATTTTTATTAGTTTAGTGAACAGTGAACGGGTGAAGAATTAGAGATAGTTCAAACAATTCAAACTAATTATGACTAGCAAATCAATTGACATATAAAAGAACAGCTACAACATGTTTACGATACCCAGATTGTCCTGCTTTGCATGAACAAATACAAATCCATTGTTCTACAGGAGTTCCGCTGGGCCCCAACTTCAATTTTACTTCATGTGGGGAAGATTTCATCGCCGAAGTTTGTAGGCAAAGTGCAATAATGTGCCTTTTGTTGAAGTCTTCTACCTCACACAAAAACTGCTTCTCCTTCCACTACTGGTCGGATTTTTTCGTCTAAATAGAGCAAAATATCTGCCAAAAGAACACCTACAACAGGCATTATCAGCGTTTTCGATCGAATATTGCCAATTAATGTCAAGAAATTCAAAAACTTATCACTCTCATCAGTGCACAGTACACAAGCTGATGGCATTGAGTGAGGATTGAGTTTGTTTTCCCCCAGTTTTGACGTGGCTTTGACATGGAACGATGAAAACCGAGCGCAACCTGGTAACATTGATTCCCGCGAATACCAGAAGATATAAATGTCATAGAAACGTCAGATGATGACCTTGTAATTCCTCAATACCTGTGATAGTGTTTGATCATTTTGAAGGTGGAGGATCAATTCCGAAGATGATTCAATTATGAATACAATGGTGTACAATTTAGCATCCAATTTTGTGCATGATATATGAAAAGAAATCTTGAAATGTGATGGATGGAGACGTTTAAGGAAAAACAATATTTCGTCCGGCTCTGGTGAAATTTTACAGGAAATTCACAATACCTAGACAGCTCTTACTCCTTACTATATTTAGAGGTCCTAATTGAGGAATGTTCCTCTGGAATTACTGACATCCAATATACGGATGGTGAATCTGTTTTCCCAAACCAGAATGCATGATATTCAATGTTGTTCTTGTTCTGTAGCCTTCGCTTTAATTACAATGTATTTGCTGAAGCATCAGTTATACAGGACGTACCCATACCCACCTATTTGTGAAATAACAATGTTTGGAGAATAATAATACTAAATAACGGCGGAATAGAGCAGTGGTTGAGGCGCTGGACTAATGATCAGAACATCGTAAGGTTGCTAGGTTCAAATCCCCTGCAGAACAAAGAATTTTCATTCATAAACCAAGTTACAAATCAGCCGGAGATGATACAGCACGATTCGCTGTTGCGTTCCAATTGATAGTGCTGCTCCAAAGGTAGCGTATGCAATTAGTAACAAAGCCTATACAGAACACATAGGCTGAGGTGCATCCATGTTGGTTAAGACTGCCAGGTTTCTCGTTTGTTATTGAAGATGGCCTGATCAGATTTTGCATAACTGTTTCCGTTTATGAGACAGGGCGATTTTGAAAATTTACGCTTTTTGGACCCCTTCTATATCTATGTAGTTTTACGGAATAATGTTGCCCTAAGAACTATTTCTAACAGAGAATCTTGAGCAGAATCCAGTGGCGCACTCAAATTTTTTTTCAGGGTTCGGTTTTGGAAATACGACCCAAACTTATATATTTTTTTAATGGATCGCCCTGTATTTAATCATTTTGTTGAATGCGATAGAAATCCATGAAAATGTGCATGCTTATATTTATGAATACTCTCTCCTCATTTAAGATATTTTCGACAATGCAGTGTTGCCGTTTCTACTAGAAAGTAGTAGCAACATTGATATTTCAAATGAAACACCCTGTATCCTATCGCATTTTCAGATTTCCCCTGGAGAGCTGAATTAATCGGTACATCACACTTGGGGACTATCCAAAAAGATTTCAGAGATAAAGGGTGTTCAAAACCGAGATTTTTCATCTTGAGGATTTTTTTGTGTCGAAACTATTCATTATCGATCAAAACGGCTCACATGTCCCTATCTCAATAAATCAATATACATTTTTTAATTTAATTTTTCAACGTTTAATTATCACTTCGGTAATTCAAGGGCACGTCGTGGGCCCTTGTAAAATATGAACACGATCCTTAACCGTTTTTAAATGTTATTATAATTTCACATCATTTCACAGATACAATCATGAAACATATTTCCCTGTTTGCCCTGTTCTATACTATTTGTATGTCTACTTTCTCGTTTCCATAACTATGATACTTTCTATTGGCTGATGATGGGCTTATATAAGCCCGAAACTTGTTTCGTTACGATTGATCTTTGATCGTTCTATTAAAAGTTGTGGAAATGACTTTTGGTTTTTATCTATGAACTACACTATTCCACTTTGAGTTTCCAGGGACTTCTTCATAAATATGTTATTTATGTTTAGAAATAAATTATTGGGTGATATCTACAGGGTGGGCCACCAGTAACGCCTCGGTCTCTAGAAGGCTAACCACTTATCTTCTTGGAATTCTTCCTCTCTCTAGGAAGTTGCATGTCAACATAGGCTACCATTTAAAATTATTTCGAAACATACAGGGTGTCCCCAAAAACCATAAAACACTGAAGTTGAACTTTTTTCTATCGAACACCCTATATATTATTTCATTTTGAGATTCTCCCTGATGAGCTGATTTCAACAATCCATCATACTTGGGATCTAGCAGTTATAATTAGGTACTGAGATATAGGGTGTGAGAAATCGAGATTTTCCAAGTTCAAGAATTTTTTGTGTCTAAACCATTCATAATTGGTCAAAACGGCTCACATCACATGTCCCTATCTCAACTTTTGATCAACTATCTACTGACACTTAATTGAAACAAATACAGGGTGGTGCAGAATTCAGAATCTTGATCACCCGGTATATGTCCCAATTAAATATCAGTAGATAGTTAATCAAAAGTTGAGATAGGGACATGTAAGCCGTTTTGACCAATTATGAATAGTTTCGACACAAAAAATTCTTGAACTTGGAAAATCTCGATTTCTCACACCCTATATTTCAGTAATTATAACTGCTAGACCCCAAGTATGATGGGTCATTGAAATCAGCTCATCAGGGAGAATCTCAAAATGAAATAATATATAGGGTGTTCGGTAGAAAAAAGTTTAACTTCAGTGTTTTATGGTTTTTGGGGACACCCTGTATGTTTCGAAATAATTTTAAATGGTAGCCTATGTTGACATGCAACTTCCCAGAGAGGAAGAACTCCAAGAAGATAAGTGGTTAGCCTTCTAGAGACCGAGGCGTTACTGGTGGCCCACCCTGTATATGACATATTTCATTTAAAAAATTCTTGTTTAGTACCATGAAAATGTCATAAATAAATCTCTGGAAAAACCACGCAAATATTTCCACAAGTATTTAGTGCCATCAAAGTAGGTAAATCTATGACTAATGAATATATTATGATACTGCATGTTTTCGTGGAAATTAGTTATTTTCTTCGCATTTACGCAATCTCAACAATTCTTGGATTTTCGACGGTTTTTTTCTTTTACCTTGAGGTGGACAAATTCCATTGGCGTAGTAATCGGAATAGACCATATTGTGGACACTGCGATGGCTGCTGTAATCCGAGACGTTGTTCGAAGCTTCACCGCCGCTCAAGTCCTGACTAGTTGCTTCCTCATTGTTCGGACTTGTCGATTCCGTCTGAAACAAGAAAAACCATGGATTAAAGCGGCGTTTTTTTTTTTTTTTTTTTTTCATCGCTCGGAGCGCACGAAAGGGAATCCCTATAATGTTCAAAGAACATCGTGCGTTCCTAGGGAGGATAGGGACAGGAGGTAGGTATTGGATTTTTTTTTAACTTTTGGAGATTATATGTTGTTGGGAATACTTCCACAGGCAATGAATTCCAGAGCCTAGCCGTTCTATGGATGAAGGAGTCTTGATAAAGTGCTGTTCGACATCTTTCGAGGTTGACAACGAAAGGATGTGCTGACTGGGCTTGTCTAGTTCGTCTGATTGGTATTGCTAGTGAAGGGATGATAGCAGAGATTTCCGAAGAACATTTCCCGTGGAAATATCGATAGAAAAGTGAAAGGTCGCCGACCTTTCTACGGTGTTCCAATGATGTCAAAGAGTGAGTGAGTGTGGCGTCACCCACCAGGCGAATGGCTCTTCTCTGGATGGAATCTAAGAGCATCAGCGTATGTTTTGGTGCTGAACCCCATATGTGGGAACAGTATTCTAGAACAGGCCGTATCTGCGCTTTGTAGATCATGAGAAGCTGTTGAGGTGTAAAGTAGCTTTTCGCACGGAACAAGAATCCTAGTTTTTGTGAAGCAGCTTTTGCGATGGATCTGACATGATTATCCCATGAAAGAGTGTTGCTGATGGAAATACCAAGCATAGATATGGTGGGCTTGGTGGGGATGGTGGAGCCAGACATTACAATGTCGGGCATACTGAGTTCCGCCTTTCTAGAGAAAATACAGGCTTGAGTTTTGGTGGCATTGAATTCAACTAGGTTGTTGGTTCCCCAGGCTGTGATTTCAGCAAGATCTTCATTGACAGCATTGACCTGCCTGCGCCGTGAGTTCTTAGTTTCCTGGAAAGAAATGGGAATTCTGGAAGAGAACGCAGTATGGAGGGTACTATCATCTGCAAAGCTGTGGATGGGGCAAGTTGTTACTCCCAACAGATCATTGATATGAAGCAGGAATAATGTTGGTGCCAAAATAGATCCTTGTGGAACGCCGGAATTGATGCCAATGGTATCAGACGATACACCGTCCACCACCACGTGAAGCGAGCTGCCTGAAAGAAAACTCGATAAGAGATGGCATAGCTGAGGTGGTAAGCCGTATGATGGTAGTTTGTGGAGGAGTCCTTCGTGCCAAACACAGTTGCAACACTGTGTCAGTATTCCTTCCAAAATTTCATGGAATACACAGATGTATAGCGATAACGCCGCTTTTCTCGTATGAACTGTTTCGTATGACGCGATACAGCTTCGGCATCACCCGTAACCGTTGCGTAGCGATGTTGCCACAAAATTGGTTCGTACTCTTGAGGGGTAGCTCACAATATGCACACTAATGATGAGGCGTTTTAAATTCATTGTAAGTATTCCTTGATATTGACATCCGATTGTGTTATTGTCATCCTCTAGGAATCATAGCTTGCTCTGAATTCGAGTCAAGATTTGTCTGGGACTGCCTAACCTACTTACCCCAAGCAGCCATTGAAGCTGAGCTCTATGGTAAAATGGTTTGGGAATGCTGGTAAAACTGAACGAGCTAGCCAACATAAATACAGTCACACTTCTATTGGTTCCGGGATATTCCGTAGGGGGACAAACTCGCTAGAAAAAATGCTCAAATACCCTTCGTGGGATCAGCAGCAGTACTGTATCAGAAGAGAAGAAGGGAAACCGAGATTCGACATCTTGGAAAATCATTAAGGTCTTAGACAGGCTAAGAATATATGTCAGCCTATCCAAAAATAAACTTTGTATACAGGGTGATTCACATAACAACCGACATAGGGCAGGGGCATGTAGGGGGTCCCAAAATATGGCAATTTAACGCAACTTACCTCTATACCAAGTTGCTTCCCTAAGGAGTTATAGGCATAGCACTAACAGCATGTCAACTTGCTCGTTAAAAGAAAACTTCTCGTTCATTTTAAAACCACTCAAATAACAATTACTCAATTGAACAACTCACTTGCCTCATTGTCAAGTTTGACGTTTATTTTCATAGCCAACTTTTGAATTTTCGATGATTTTAAATAACACACCTAGAGCGCGCGTTTTCAGTTATTCGAGTTTTTGATGAAAATTATGAGGTTTTTCAAAAAATCATTAGAGTAAGAAAAGTTTTAGAATTGAATTGCACACAAAACAAAGTAAAGATTTTTGAAATCCATCAAGGGTTAACAAAATTATGTTGAATATTAATGGTGCGCCACCCGGTATACCCAGTTTACAAATTTCAATTGAACTCTAGTTACTGTCAAGTAACGCCCTAAATACATCCACAAAGTGTACCAAATTTGGTTGCTTCAAGTTCAAGAATAACGGAGATATTGATTTTTTTCAAAATTTATAACTTCACCTTCAAATCCTATATCTCCTTAGGGAAGCAACTTGGTATAGAGGTAAGTTGCGTTAAATTGACATATTTTGGGACCCCCTACATGCCCCTGCTCTATGTCGGTTCTTATGTGAATCACCCTGTATATTAACCGAACGGGGGTCCTAACAGGACACTGTCTGTTTTAAGGACATCTTAGGTAGCTCGGCTTAGAAGATCCATTGTTCGGAGTACTAAAAACCTTGCTGGATGTCAAGATGCACACAAGAAAAACACCATGTATACTGGATCTGTGGTCCAAGGCAAACGCATAGGTAACACTATTCTCAGTTTATGAGCAAAATTCTAATATACGAGACTAACATCTGGGTACTAACCCTGGGGGAAATATTACCATCGGATGGATACTATGTCGAGTAAGGGATACCTACTAACGTTTGAGATATAGAACATTATCTCTCGAGATGCTTTTTCAAGGACATATTCTTTGACTATCAAATCTGTGCTAAAATGCTAAAAAGACAACTGCATGACTAGGAATACAATATGCCCAATGGCTATAGTGTTTTGGCATTGTAACCTCCACTGGTTATTATTCTGAATTGATCAATTATTTTCGTTCGAAATTCACGGTGGATTTTGTGATTGACATTGAATATTTGCATAAATATAATGTTGCTCATCAACATTGGAATTACCACTTCTAACTAATGCATTCCATGTATCGTATACTTGACCACATGGATAAATCATTGGAACCAAGATATCAGAAAGTATCGTCTACAAAAATAGAACCAATATTTCAAAAATTATATATCGTCTTAGGTGGTCAAGGATTTTGAAGTAAATGTGCATGAATACTAGTATCCTTATACCTTTGACCCAGATCATTCTCAATATCTGAGTATAAATAGATATTTAATCAACAAAAAATATGACAAACGCTTATACGGTTCAAAATGGACTAATACTGATCAGGTCAAACCATTCAAGAATGATCGAAAATGTTACTGTGACCTATAATGTGAGCTTTTTATCTGTATTATTTCGACATGTTATAACGGCCTCGGGTTGAGTAAACTTTGTTGTTGGAAACAGCATATTTTTGCTGCTGCATAATAAAATATACCGGGTGATCTCGAATTCGAATGATTCGTGAGTTGACTCTATTGAAATTTTCTTTACAGAAAAAATATACGATAATGAATGTATCTATTTGTGCGAATTTTCTGAATTCTATTTAGACGTACATTTCATTATATTATTTCAAGGTAACGCATACTCAGAGGTTTAATATGTGTGAAACAGAAAAACTATGGCAGCTAGTCCTCTATCATATCTGAATCCTGAAAAAATATATAGGGCGTTCGTTAAAAAAATAACTCTCATCCATATATCACATGTTATTCAAGGGTTATTTATTAGTAGTATCTTCTCGACCAATCGGGAAGCTTTCATTTCGCAATAGGTAGCTGACCTTCAAGATCTACAAAGGTCTACTCTACACTATATTTATCCACTTACAAAAATTGATGCGACACTGTTATAGATGATAATATTCCTCGTAGCCTTGTGTAAATAAATGATAATCCTGATTTACCAATATTCTCAATCGCCATTTCGCGTCATTAGACTTCACTACTTATTATTTTTGAACGAAAATTATCAACGCGTCGATGTTGATTTCCCTAGACCAGTCTAGAAACTGGCGCTAGAATTCAGAACTTAAAAATAAATGTGTCTGGGTTTCCAAATAGATAATTATTTTGTACATTTACTCGCTTAAATGTGTTGATAGTGGACTTTTTATTCTGATCTTCACCATAATGCTCTTAGATCAATTATCTTTCAAAAATTTTCCTTATGGATTTAAGCAGGCCTCCAAATCTTGAATGGAGTCACTCATAACTACTGACGTCATGACTCGGTGAGTGAGGCACATAGTGGTGTCAACACGTGTTTCGCTGAATGTGTCAGCATCTTCAGGAGAAGATTGAAACTAAATGCTCTATCCTAGTGGGCTACTTATATACTAAGAATATTTCCACCCAACCGTGAATAGACAATAACCGCCAATTTAATGTTATTCATGGTTGAGTTCACATGTTATATCACTAAACTATACAGGAGGCTAAAGGGGATAGGTCCATTATCCTTATGCATTACTCTATCACTATTCTGGTGTACCATTTTGATTTTGTATGGATGATACTTCAAAAGTCTCCACACAGTAGATGGACCCACCATCACCAATTATTTGAACTTGCTGTTTTTCCGGAATGGTCGGATGATCTGGGGGCTTTTTGTTCTGTACAGTGTGTCCAGTTTTCGATGCTTTTGTGTGATATCTCAGTTATCTTTCGAGATAGAACCTTGCGGGTTTCGCGATCGTGTGCCACTTTTTTGTGAAACTCAAGATGGCCTAATCAGATTTTGCATAACTGTTTCCGTTTATGAGATACAGGGCGATTTTGAAAATTTATACTTTTTGGACCCCCTCTATATCTACGAAGTCTCTCAGCAAAAATGTCAAATTTAAATCTTATCCCATATGGAAGTTTTCGCAGAATCCAGTGGCGCACTCAAAATTTTTTTTCGGGGTATGGTTTT